CTGAATGCTTTCACTGTAGAGGTGAGCCCAGTTCCACATTAAGAAAAATCAATTTTGAAATGGGGTGGAGAGAACATCACAACATCAAAGGATTAATATTGATCTTAAAAGCAAGTGTCTAATTAAATGGGCTGTAACTATTTTAATTAAATAAACCTTTGGTAGAAATCTTTTTACTAGCCACAAGACACTAGCCAGTGGAGTTATAAGGGGTCCGGGCTGTAACTGGGAGGTCACTATGTGATTTATCACAGATTTCATTTGCAAATTGATTGGCTAATTCCTTCCATCACCCCAAATCTTGCTTATGTTTATTTCAGCTCATGTCCCCCATTAGATAAAATCTGTGATGGCTGCCATTTCAGCAGATTGAATTGTCATATTTAGACCAGGCATGAAAAGTTAAATTGCACTTTTTTTCTCTCTGTGTCATTTTTTTAATGGAGAGCTACAACGGTGCAGGAGAGCTCTGTTGGTAAGGGATTGGGATCCTTTAAAGTGTGAATCGTGAAGACGTCAAGAAAACAGTAATGCCTCTTAGCAGAAGGGTCTTGGTTCAGTTGATTTGTCGATGTGTTGTATACAACTGGATAAGTAGCTGATCCTAATTGCAAAAGACTAGCATGTTCCAAAGAATTCAGCCACATCTGCTGCTACCCCTTTACTTTACTTCTTTCTCTGAAGCTTCCACCAATTTCCCAGATGACCACTTTTACCCTCAAGCTATTGGACAACATGAGGCCTTGTCACAACCTAACCCTGTGCTGGCCTCATGCAACTAAATAAGCCTAGAGAATGGATCGTACCTGGGACCTTCCTGCTCCTTATGGCTTTGTTTGACTGTGGACAGTAGCTTCCGTCAACTTTGCTTTTCTTATGAAAGTTGCACTCATGATGCTACAAAATGTATCTTTCACACACATACACACACATGCATGCACCAAAGATGTACAAGCAGTGTCTTAAGGGCAAAAAAAAGGAAGCAGATTGCTGCTCATCTCCTTCCTGTGCCGCATGAATGAATAAATAAGAGAAGAGAAAAAAGCTCATGTGCCTTCTCATTACAAATTGATTCACTCTCATTCTCTCAAGAATCAGCAATAATGCTTAGGTTCAATTCCTTGCAGTTGAGCCAGGCCAGCTCCAGCACATGGCTACTGTCAATGGATGCAGCTCTTAACATATGTGTTTGATTTAGGGAAGCCGGCCTGAAATAGGCCAGTTGACCATTACCAAAGAACGATAGTGACTTTATTTTTACAAGATGGAAACACGTACAGTTGTAAACATCATACTCAATATTGCAATGGGGCTACAAAGAAAAATGTTTTGGGGTCATAATGTTTTGAACCATCTTAACAGTGTGTTCTCAGATTGTTTAGAAACCTAGTTACTATACAGTAATCTCACTAGCATTCCCATGCTGGGAAACCCTACGAATGGGCATAATTAAACCCTTAATCCAGCATTTACTATCCTCATGTTGGAATACCAGGAAATAACTTTGTTAGCCAAATATTCAGTACCCGTTGGCCTTACAGTACCTCACCCTTTCTTTTTCTTCTCATTCTCACAGCAAGTACCTATTCAGACTGTTTTTCTAAGATAAGTGAAGGGCCAAGGCTTGTAGTGCAAGATATTACTGAAGTTAAATCAGCGTTAGTCAGAAGATAAGATCAATGAAGAAATATTGCAATGGAGCAAAATCTGGAGATGCAGTTAGAAACTGGAACAATCAGTTAATAAGAACATTTTAAAATAATCCATTTGATGTAGCACCTTATCATATTGTTGAGATGTCTTAAAGCTTCACAGAATTTTACTATGAAGTGTAGTGATTGTGTATTTGTAAGCGAAAAGACATTGGAATGTCACTGAGCCAGTACGGAACCGTAGTGTTTTCTTTGACCTTCAACTATCTTTTGAACCCCGCATCCATGACATGACCCATTCTACCTTTTCCCACCTCCGCAATATTGCCTGCCTCCGCCACTACCTCTCACTCCCTCAGGCTACTGAGATCCTCATCCATGCTTTCATTACTTCCAGGCTTGACTATGCAAACTCCCTGCTTGCTGGACTTCCCAACTCTTCCTTCCTCAACCTGCAGATTATGCTGAACTCTACACCTCATGTCCTGGCCGCAACTAAACTCTGTAAGCCAATCACCCCCATCCTCACCTGGATTCATTGGCTCCCCATCCCCCAGAGGACTGAGTTCAAGATCCTCATCCTCACTTTTAAAGCCCTCCACGGTCTTGCTCCTCCCTTCCTCCTAACCCTACCTGCAACCTCCTAAAACATTACCAACCTCTCAGCACTGTGGGCACTGTCCTGTTCCATGTCCCCTGCCCTACCTGCCATACCACCAGTGGTCATGCTCCACCATCTGGAATTCCATCCCAGAATCCCTCTGCTTCACCTTCTCCATTGGTTCCTTCATGGCCAGTCTCAGGATTCTCCTCTTTGACTGTGCCTTCGGTCATTCTCCCACCTCCATCACCCTTGCCCTCCATCCCTCTTGAATCCAACATCCAGCTCGGGTGCAAACCTTTCACTTTCCAACAGCTTGAAATGTCCTCCCAGTGTGAAAAACACTATATAAATGTAATTTGTTGTTGGAATTACAACTCTTGAACTGTGAGATAAATAGCTATACTATCTTCCAGTGGTGGTTGTGTTAGTCTGGTGAATTACCATTGTCTGGGCTCTCGGCCAGGGAACTTATGTGTAATGAATATGCCTATGATGGATGATGCCTATGGCTGGTACATTGACAAGAACTGCATTCCTCTGTATCGATGGATGGTGTTTTGTCTTGAACTGTACGTGCCTGTAAGAGAATTGAAGTGATGTCTATTATGCAGTGGATTGAACACTTCTAATAACTGAGCCCACAAATGAAGCTTTGCTATCCTTAATGCTGAAGGCATTTTGTACAGTGGACATTTATCTGGTATCAGTGATGTTGCATTTCTCTGCAGTTCTGTTGCTGATAGGTAGCAGCCACTCACAATAGTGTTGCGATGTAAATGCTCTTTCATGGGTACTAGTGCCCCATGAAAGATCTTTCTATGCATTGCTTTATGTAACTCTAGGTTTGTTACGATTGGGATTGGATGGAAACTGGCTGAGCTCAACTCATATTCAATAGCATATAAGCCTCCAACCTTAAAGCCAGTTGGCAGAGGAGACTTTCATCTCATCAGTCAGGTATGGGCTCAGATTCGCTGTGCTTACTACATGAAATTCACATTTGAAAGCATTAGCATGCAGTACTGTGGAAGGCTTGGTCAGACTCATGACCTTTGCTGACAATGTCCCACTTGACAAGTTCATCGCCTTGAACAAAAAGTTGGATGAGCTGTTGGGAGGCAAGGTCAATGCCAAGCAGATGTCAGACTCTTCACATATGAAGAAGGAGGGAAAAGCTGTTACAGATATTGTTACAAGCCTTGGTGGACAGTGTCCATGCTACTACCCAACAGCTCTGCTGAGCAAAAGCATCCTGTATATAATCCCCAGCAGAGGACTGTGGGACTAATAACTAGTGACAAAATACATAAAGCTGGGTAGTAAACTCAATAAATAATCCTTTCATTCAATACAGTGACTTTCACGTCAGGAAGACTTCTCAAAGTGCTTCACAAAATATACCATAGAGGGTAGTGACTGTGCATTGTGTGGGCAAAGTCGGCAGCCAATCTGCACAAGGTGATAATAATATAATAATAATTAGAGAAACTCCCTTCACACAAGCAAGTGAGTACGATGTGCATTCATTGCTGAAGTATAAATTCACAGTCATATTTTCTTCCTATGCTGAGCTGTTCTGCTTTTACACATCTCTGGCTAGACATGTTTTGCCGCCACAGATTATAGCTACTAAAAAATGAAATACTTTGCTTTTTAAAAAGAAAACATTGTGGCTTTTAAGAAAAAAAAATTACCCAGTGTGTTCCCAGGGGATAAGGCGACTGGCTTTCAATTGAACTAGCTGATATTTCAATAAAGCGCTCAGCTGCAACCACAGCCTAAAAGCCCTGCTTGAATGGCTTAATGGTAATTAACCTGGGAAAGAAACGTCGCAGAATTGGATGAAACGACGTGAAGTATTTGCAGAGCTGCTTTGACAAATGTGTGGCTGTTTGAGAGCAAGAAATGCCCCCCTCCCACCACACCCCATCCCATCCCAGCACCAGCCATCTGCACTGAATCCTGTACAGTCCAGTGCTGAGGCCAGTCTGGAGCTGCGGTGCTGTCCACGGTGCTGAAAGCTGAGAGCTGACAAGGAAGCCTTTTGGTTCTTTCTCGATGCTGGGAGAGAAAGTGTGATTTAAAAGGGATCGCTTGCATTGGAAGGGGAAAAGGGGATGGCTGGATTGGAAGGATGGGGGGAAAGGAGGTTGCATTATTCTGCTGTGGGCCGTGTGAGGCTTTGAAGAGACAGAGAGAGAGAGAGAGAAAGAGAAGGAGAGGAGAGAGAGAGAGAGAGAAAGAAATGATGATGATGTGAGATGCCGACTGCTGATTTTCAGCCACTGCTCATTTAGCAGAAACGCCACGTGATTGCTCTTACCTTTACCATTACAAGAGAGAAGGCAGAGTTACTGTGTGTGTGTGTAAGAGACAGAGAGAGACTAACTGCCTGTCTGGCTGGAGGAGGAGGAGGAGGGGGGGAGGAGGAGTGTTGCACATTGAGGCAGTTACCCAGTCTATTGCAACCTTCCCTCGTGCACTAATCACAGAGAGAGAGAGAGATGCCATGGGGACCAGAGGAGAGGACTGTGTACATGCTGTTTAGACAGTGGGCTCTAATGAGGAGCAGGACCCCTGGGAGCTGAAGTGCAAAGCAGAGTGTGCTTTTTTTTTCTTCTTCTTCCCCCCCCCCCCCCATCCTCTTCCCCTCCTCCCTCCTTCTCCCCCCACCCCCATCCCCCTCTCCTCTGCCTTCTCTCTGCCAGCACCAGACACCCATCCTTGCCTCCCTAAACCGATGGGCCCATCCAAACACAGCTCGGGGTGCTGGCATGTGGAGCGCACGGTGGGTAAACACTGGAAGATTGCGCGCAGATCGAAAGGGGACTTCCATTCCTGCGAGAAGGTAGGCTCCCTTTCCCTCTCCTCGCTGGCGAGTTGATTTGCGGCTCCAAAAAAAACGACCCTGAGGATCGTAAGCCTGGTCAGTGCTGCTCTTGAAAGGGGAGAGTGGGGTTGATATGGAGAGAGAGAGAGAGAGAGGGGGGGGGAGAGGGGGAGAGAGGGGAGGGGGCAGAAGGATATAATGCCACAAGATAGAAGCTGCTGAATTGAAGGAGGGAGGGAAGATCTCTCTATATTTGCAGGAAGCTAAGGAAGGATCTCCTGCCCTGTGCTTAGTAGAGCAAATTCTCATCCCTGTTTCCTGAGTCTGGCACCATCTTCAAATGGAGCTTTTGGTTGTGAGTGAGAAGGAGGGCGATTGCTTTCGGTGCTGTGTCTTTTAGCACAAGATTGTGAAAAGGATGAAAGAGCCTTCAGCCTTCCCATCACCAAGAGGCTTACAAGCAGGGTACCGTTTAACGCCCTCCTCCATGCATACATGCACATGCATACGCGCACATAAGGAAAATAGCATCTTTGCTCAATTCCAAGCTCACATGAGCAACAAAGACGCCAAGGACAGTCTCCTGTCTTGCCAATGCTTGATCAGAAAGCAAACGTGTTAGTCATTTTGTGTGTGTGTGTGTGTGTGTGTGGATGGCAGGAATTAATGAGACGTACAGCTTTTCGTGAAAACTGCAGTGAGCTTCAAGGAACGATTATGGAGTTGCAAAGTCTTGCAGTGCTGTGGCCAGGGTCAAGGAGATGAGAGGCAGCCAGACAGAGGGACAGAATCTGCCGAGTTTCACTGAGCTGATCGACCCAGTAAGGAGAAGAGAGTGCTTTCATTAAAAACTTAATCCATTTAAAATCAGCTTGCAGAGAGTGGTGTCAAAGTAACGTTTGGATGACCCTCTTCCCCCCCCCCACCCCATCCAATTAAGTAGGTTTTCTGGCATTTTTAAGATGTGTGTTCTTCTGAGGGGGAATAATAATAATCCTAGCATTTCATATAGTGCATTATCACGTCTTAGAGACGTCTCAAAGCGCTTCACGGAATATACTGTAAAGTGGATTGACTGCATATTTTGTGGAAGAAAATGTCGGCTATGTTTTAATTTTGTAGCATTTAACATCTAAAATAAATCTTTCCCCACCAAAAAAACTGTAACAAGGTCACTAATTTATAGCTGGTTCCAAAAATCCTGTGATTTGTTGTGGAGTGCGTGTGTGTGAGGGCAGGAGGTCTCATTTTCTAATGGCCCGGTATAATTCTCATTTTTGGGAATGTAACATGCAGAGAATCAAATTTGGCAGATGTGGACGTTAAAGGCTTGTGTACTATGAAACCCGAAGAGGCCTTGAGTGCTCAGAAGGTTAAATGGAATCATTCTTCCCTACTTACCCCAGTGACATTAACATATTTTCAAAACGGGCAAATCCCCCCCAAAAATAGAAAGTGTATTTCTCACTTCAAGCTATCACTGCACATTGACTTCAAAGGTCACATCTTTATTAATAAGGCAATATTTTATATTAATAATTAATTTTCTGCTGGAAGGATAGTGCATTTGTGCGGAGTTATTAATCATTTATGTTTATCATAGTATTGGCATCCAGCTTTGGACAAGTATGGTGCCAGCATTCCTACTGGTGTCCTTTGTAACTTTCTCAATCTGAAGCCCGGCCTATCTGGTAAATGGGATTATGGTTTGCGGTGCTGTTCAGCCCATCGCACATGTGCTCTGTCACTCACTGTGGAATCCATTTTGTTTCCAAAGTGTGATTTATTTCCCAACCGTTGTATACTAATGGGTCGAATATGCCAGGTTTCTGAGTTTGCCTACAATTGTTACAAGGAAAATACATGCAACAGGGTCATTTTTCTTCCTCAGAGCCCAATGCAGAGGCATTACATCCCAGAGCATGTGCAAAATTATACTAAACTCAGGTGCGACATGTTCGTATAGTATACATTCTGTCTCTATTTCCCCCGCTCTGCACATGCTTACACACAAACACACACATGGTTGTACACCCACGCATCCAAATGCAGACGTACATGCATGTGAAAAAGCATGCGCAAATACCATCGCACCACAGGTGTACATGCTGACATAGGAATGTGCACATATATAAACATGCATGCACGCACCGCACAAGCAGAAGAAAAATTAAATGTAGTACAGAGCAGAGTTGCCCTAGATGGAATCTGAATGGGCGTTTGCATCGTGTCTAATAGTGGGTGATGTGGGCAGACAAATCCAGCCCCAAGTTATTCTCCTAACTATGCTCACCTGCCACTTCTGATAATTATTTTTAAAAACATTAATATTGCAGCATTTCCAGTCTCACGTTCTGTGGTTAGTACCCCCAGCTGACTTCAGATGTTTTCAACACTTCTTCAGTTTTCTTCCATCCTTTCTCAAAGATATTGGCTCAATGCTGAGTCGAAGTGCCATGGTGTTATGTCCTTGATACCTTACCCAGGTGCCCATTCTTCAAATGGGAGTACTGATTCTTCCTTAGGAGGGAGTTAAGCAGGATCTCCTTGGAGCTACGATGGTTCGAAATTGACATGCTTGACAATGGGATGTCAGAATCAAGTCAATCCTCTATGGTAGTCTCAGCCAGACAGGTCCACAGGTCTCCACGGCACTGCTGATGACTGACCAGCCTGACTCAATTGGCAGGATTTGGAGGGGCAGACCAGTCATTGTGATTGAGGATCTTTCCCACTCGGCTCCTGTTAACACTATGATGCAAAACCTTAGCGGGTGGGGTGGTCCTAGCTGTACCAACAGTGGGAAGATTGTCCGACAGTGCTCTCAATAGCAAGCCACGTGTTTTATCTAGTTAAACCCCAGTGGTATTCCACATTTGCTCTGGGGTCCCCAAACCTTAGTCCTTGCCAACCTGTGCCTAATACTCTCTGGAGTTGTTAAGCAGGACATATCACAGCCAAGCTAAAATTGAAGCCTAAATTGAAATGTGTGCACCTTCCAACAAGAGTCCCTGAATTGGAGCAGAAAACCTGGCTGATTTTGTTATCCATTTCCTCAACCTTGGAACAATTTGTAACATGAACAAACTTACCACAAAGCAGGGACCCAACCTGGGACCTTCCTGGTCTCTACGGCTCAGTAACACATTGGGGAATGATTATCTAAGGACTCTTAGATTGTTTTTCTCTTTCAATTTGTAAACTAGGACAAATGGTATAATACAATAATAATAATCCTTGTTTTTGATATAGCGCCTATGTCATCAAAATGTCTCAAATGGCTTCACACGTAACTCTGTCTGGTTCCCATGGTTATCACTCCATGTTCTGACAATGAAAATGATATAAAGCAGAGTGCAAATTTGGATTGGACTTCTTTTAAACGAGTTTACCCTTGAGCTAGCTCTCTGGATTTCTGTATTACCCAGGATCACTGAACTATAATTGATTGTTGAAGATGCCTTGCTTTGAATGAGGTATTGAACTGTGTACCTTTTTTGGAGGTTGGGAATTGGGTGGACTTTGATGATGATGATGATGATGAGGATAATAATAATAATCCTTGCATTTGATATAGCGCTTTCACATATTCCAGATAACACCATGTAGCAGAAACTCTGAGCAATATTCCTCTCTCTTCCAAATCTATCAACATCCAATTAATAGAGATTGTTATTTGCCTATTAGTGGGCTATTACTGGCAGAGATTAGCCACTGCATTTGCCGACAATAAATAGTTGCTACACTTCAAAGTAGCTCATTGTGTGAAACACTGACAAATTTTGAGGTGATGAGGCACTATAGTAAATGCAAGTGTGATAATTGAAAAATGTTTTGGGTTAAATGATGATGACAGCTGCAATGGTGTTTTCAAATGTGTTTGCCATTTAATAGTCCTGCTCCTTTCTGCACGGCAGGAAGCAGTGCTCTTCCCATTTGCTGCGCTCTGAACAAAGATGACTTCGAAGCAGGAAGATGCAGCCCTAGCCAATTTCCTGCAGTTTATTGAAGACAAGGGATTGAGGGCCTACGATGCTCTGGTGATTCAGAACGCCTCAGACATTGCTCGGGAAAATGACCGTATGCGGAACGAAACAAACCTGGCTTACCTCAAAGAGAAAAGCGAGAGACGCCGTAGACAGGAGGAGGCAATAAAACGGTAAGTCCTAAATATCGAGCGCGCCACAAGAAGAAATAGATAATAATAATAATCCTTCCATTTGATATAGTGCATTATCACGTCTTAGAGACGTCTCAAAGCACTTCACAGAATATATTGTAAAGTGGATTGACTGTGTGTTTTGTGGGTAAAATGCTGCAACCAATTGCGCACAGCAGCGACCCACAAATATATATATATATATTTGGATATGAGAACATTGCACGCCCCATAATGTCTATGGGATGTAAAGTTCCAAATTTGTGTCTTGTGAATATGCTGCACATCCCGAGTGCTCAGACGCTCTTATAATTTTAAATTTGCATTCCTAGCTCTACTCGGAGCCAAACTTGAAGCATCCCCAGCCAAGCCTGGGTCGGTCTAGGAATTTTCCTAAAAAATTTAATTTTGTGGATTCACAGACCCCATAAATAGAGCCAATCTATAAGTCTTGCCAAAAGACCACTGATTACAGCATCTCTCATATATTGTAAAAGTCCAGGTGGCCTACATTAGATCAGTTTGATACAGAATCCCATGAGACCAGTGGTGGCTTAGCAGTGCTGCTTTGCAAAGATCTGCATGGTACAGAGTCATTATACATATAGGGCATAACACCCCTGTCACACAAGCGAATTACAAATTTATTTAAAAATGAGTTTGAACCAGTCTCAACCCAGCTCCTAGTAGACAGAAGCTCACAGCACATAGCTTCCTTCAGGGAGGCAATCTCACTTAGAGGGCACAGAATGGCTGGTGTTGAAGATGAAAAATGCCACACTAGTAGGATAGGATGTGTTGTTCTGAGTGGTGCAGAGGGACGGTGGAGCATGCTTGGAGGTGCCCCTTGGATGAAACATTTAACCATGGTCCTGTCTGCCTGTTCAGGTGCATGTTAAAGATGCCATGGCACTATTTGAGAAAGGGAAAGCAGTTTCTCCTTTGGTCCAGGCCAACAATCCCCAAGGTAATTTATCAGTCATTCATGGCTGTTTGTGGGACATTGCTCTTTGAAAATTGTCTTCCAAATACACATTACTTTATTCTGCACTTTACAGCAATTCCTGTGAAGCGCTTAGAGATGTCCTTGTGAAAGCTCTACATAAATGCAAAGGCAATGCAATTGTTGATTATTATTTCCCAGTAATAACATCCTTCACCCACATGAGTAATTCTGATGGCGGGAACATCAGCTTTGATTCCTAATTCCTCCCAAAAATTCTCTCCAAAAAACTTAATGACTGACAAAATATAATGACTGACAAATCTCTCCAATATAATGTATGCTCTGGCATTTCTCACACAATAGGAATAGGATAGCTGACTAGTGTGACACTCTGACACTTCTCCTGCTGTTCAGAGCAGACATTGGACCGGTTGATCTTTTGTCTGCCTCAAGAGAATATTTTATTGGAATCTTAAATGTTTTTATTAAGTGTCTAATTACAGGTATGATGGGGTTAGAAGTTAACAGTGTCACTATGGTAATGTGTAAAAGTTAGAGATTATAAGTACCTGGTGCTGTCATGAGAATGGAGGAAAGCTCACTGGAAATGGGGATAGTTTGAAGATTTGGTGGTGCGGGTTGCATATCGTCTTTCAACTTTGGGATCTGGATTCAGATTCAGCCCAGACTGATGCAATGAAAGTCTCCTCTTTCTGCTGGCTACAAGGGCATCTCTCTGAGTTGATTGTACCGCAGTCTTAACTCAGGTACGAATGATTGCAAATAACAAATAATCTCACTCCAATGACATCGGGTCTGGGAAATGGAAAGCACTAGTGGAATAGGATATGCTCTTCTGAAATTGGGAGATAAGGCACATTGTTTGGGATACAGTGGAGTGAGCTTCACTCTATATCTAACCATGGTGTACCTGGCCTAGAATATACTTGTTGCTGATACTTCTTAGGGAAATATTCCTACTGGGTTTACATTTACTTTATTCAAGTAGTATTTCAGAGTATGCAGAATTTAGCTAATTTTTTAATTTAGTTTTAACTTTCAAGCCCAATTCTTGTAATTCTTAAAAAATAGAAAATCAGCTTAAAAATTAAACACTGTATTTAAAATTTGACAAAAGCTGGACGCTCTTAAACATGATACATTATACATTTATTTAGCGCCTTTCACGCCGGGAGGGCGTCTCAAAGCATTTGATTGCTTAAACGCTGTTAATAATAATAATAATTCTTGCATTTGATATAGCGCTTTTCACGTCTTCTAGACATCCCAAAGCACTTCACAGAATGTACATTTGTGGGCGAACGCGGCAGCCAATTGCACACAGCAATGTCCCACAAACAGTCATGGATTGAAAATGACCAATTTATTATTGTTTTTTTTGGAGGGATTATTATTATTAATAGAGTAAATCTAGACTCGGTTGGACTTTGTAACCATGGATGCCTGAAATGGCAGTGTGTTCTATTTCTCCACTGCTGAGTCCCTGGGTGAGCTCAGATTTTACTGAAAAATATATTAAAAAGAGAAGAAAATGCTGATTTTTTTTGAGGCAAGTGTGAGCTGTTTGGCTTAAAAATTGGCAGAGATTGCACATTCTAATTTGGAAATATTTGACAAAGGACCAGCAATGACAGAACAATAACAGGCCAAACACAAGGTTGAGAAAGGGATCATGCAGAATGATCATCTATGAATAAGGCACTGGTGCTCAAAATATAGCTCGGGGACCATTTATATCCTACCTTCCCTTCCCTCGGGAGCCCTGCTGCTCTATGTATTTTTCCACCTCCAGACTTGGCCCCCAAGACTCGCTAGGATTCAGTGCTGTTCCCTTTCCTGTCCAGGGAGAGAAAGCAGAAGAATGCAGTTAATAGACAGGCTATAACAGTAACCATAGAGCAAGTTCAAGGGCTCTCTTAAATATATAGGGCCTATGTTTTTTATTATCTCCACCAAATTACCTCTATAATTCATCACCACAGACTGTCCTGCTAGAATGAAAACATTGTTACAAGACTGTTACCTAAAAATATCTATCTTTAGCTATTGCGTGTGAGCGAGACCATTGTGTGTATGATACAGGGTGTTGGAAATATCACTCAGAATGGTTCTTAAACAAATATTGTGCGTCAGACTGGCTCGGTTGGTAGTACTTTTGCCTCCAAGTGGATCCAAGTCCGCCGTTATGGCACTCATACAGTCATTCCAAAGCAAATATAAGGATTAGTAGTGGCTGGGGTTTTAGTCCTTGATAAAATGTTAATAAAAAACACGAGGCTAAAGGAATATTTAACTCTGCGGTTTGGTTCACCCGTCCTGTTCAAAACTGCCCATATATTACCCTTAATTGGTAATTTCTCAGTAAAATCAAAAGGATGAATGCGTTGGAAATAAAAAATATTTCATATATGTAATGAGTAGCTTTATTTTAGGGGGAGTGGAGTGAAATAGAGACCCAGGGAGGGAACATTTCGCTCCCTTCCTAAATATAGCGAATCCTTGATGTGTGATGGACACATGTTTTACAAATACAGTAACACCAATGACATTCTACATAAAATGATAAAATATTCAGCTTCAATGCAGTTATTTTTAAAAAGCACCCGATAAATCCATTAACCTTTAGCACATGTAGCAGAGTAGCAAGTCAGCAAGCAGCGACACTTAGGAAAAAGTCAACACTCCTAGAAAGTTCCCCGAAGGGTGTAATCATCGTGGTCAGACAGAATCCCAGGACCTTATCTCTGGCCTATGTCTCTAATCCCAAATGCACAACTGGAGCAGTTCCCATGATCCCCTATTATTGAGCTCCCTCGGTGGGTATCCAGCTGGCAAGTTCCTTCTTGTCACAAACAGTTTTGATTTCAATGTTACAAACCTCCCACATTATCATTCTTCTCTTATTCCAGCGAGCATTGTTAAAGCAATTCATAGAAATATCAAGCACAAAAAAGGCCATTGTGATCTTTCCGCTAACTATGTCAAGTCTAACAATCCCGAGCAGCTTCTTGCTCGAGGGCCGGTATCCACATGGTGAGCAAAGGGAGCATCTCTGCTTCCAACTCTGCTGCATTTGACCCAGGAGCACTTGATGCTGAGGCTGGGGGGACTGAAATGGAGAAGTGTTTGAATTCCCGGCAAGTCTTATTAATTTTTGATGAGCACAAAATTCCTGGGGAATACAAGCTAATCAAGACAAAAATAGCATCACTGGCACAAGCCACCAATTGTTCCTGGGATGTGCGGTTACGATCCTTATATTGACGTTCGGAGGCATGGCAGGACCAGTTACAGCCTTATTGTTGTGACGATACTGATTGTGAGATTTACCCTTCCTTTAACCATTACCACATGACACCAATAGATCAACATAACATTGGCCTGAAGTAAAAGATGGGGCAGCAAGGAAACATAGACAGCACTTCATAGCCTGGTTCCCATGGAATTACACAGGGGAATAGTTGGAGTGGGTAGGATGCTGGTCATGAACTTGACCTTGACTGACCACCCAGAAAACAATACCTCAATCTTGCACATGCTATGAAATGTTATCATTCTGACTGTAGAGCTGACTGCTCCACTACAAAGCAATATATAAAAATATACAAAACAATTTTTTTTAATAGAAGACATTCAGAAAAAAATGTGTACAATCAGGCCATTTCACAGCCATAATTAAAACTTGGTAGTCGTGAAAAGATTCACATACTTTGCATTGTTGGTTTAATTTAATTCACCCAGAATTGGACTGGAGTAAGATTCTTAATAATTACTTGACGTCTCATCATTTTACTCAGTTTAAAAAAAACTTCCGCAAATTACCAGCACCAATCAAATGTCAATTTAGTTTTAGAGCACCATAAAAATATCCCAAGTATTTATAAATTCTGCACACTCCTGCTTTCTCCTTCTGCTGAATGATAGAGCACTAGCTGTCAACCTAGTTATAAGAATCATAACAGAAAAATCTGTACTAACTCATTAATCAAAAGCTCTTATGATCACAAATGAATGTCTGCAGCTGCGATATATT